CCAGCCCCTCACTGGGGGATTCTAGGCAGGGGCTCCACCACTGAGCCACACCCCCAGCCCCTCACTGGGGGATTCTAGGCAGGGGCTCTACCACTGAGCCACGCCCCCAGCCCCTCACTGGGGAGATTCTAGGCAGGGGCTCTACCATCACTTTATATGTGCAATCAGTTTTCTGTTTCTACTATATGGGTCTAGGAGGTTGACCTTGGGTCATCAGTTTGGAGTCTGGCACCGTTTAATCAGCTGAGCCATTTCTCTGGGCCCTGCCTTGTTCTTCTGACTTTTCTCCACTTTATACCTTTTGACTGTCTGTCACCCTGTCCTGGTGTCGTGCTCTGTCTGGGTCTCTGGGAGGATGTCTGGATCCACTGTCTCCATCTCCCTCTGTAAGCTCCTACTCCCATGCTTGTCATGTGACAGAGACACCCAGTTGGAGAATGTGACTGACTGGCCCCTCTGCTTTCTTCCCTGGCAGTGAAACGGTCATCTGCTCCAGCCGGGCCACTGTGATGCTTTACGATGACACCAATAAGCGATGGCTCTCTGTTGGCACTGGTCCTCAGGCCTTCAGCCGCGTCCAGATCTACCACAACCCCACGGCCAACTCCTTCCGAGTTGTTGGCCGCAAGATGCCGGACCAGGAGGTGCAGGCTCCCTCCCTCTGTCCCTCTGTCTGTCTGTCACCCTGCACTCATCACCCCCCCCCCCCCCCCTCTTGTAGGTGGTTATCAACTGTGCCATCATCCGGGGTATCAAGTATAATCAGGCCACTCCCATCTTCCATCAGTGGCGCGATGCCCGCCAGGTCTGGGGCCTCAACTTCGGCAGCAAGGAGGAAGCCTCACAGTTTGCAGCCGGCATGGCCAGTGCTCTAGAGGCCTTGGAAGGTTAGCTGGGCAGGTGGGATGACGTTGGGCTCACACTTTTAAGTCCCTGCGCTTGGGAGACTGAGGCAGGGGGATTATAACAAGTCCCAGGACAGCCTGGATGACATAGCAAGACCCTGCCACAGACAAGAAATGGAATCAAACTGGGAACGTCGGGCAGTAGGTAGAGAGCTCACCTAGTGTGCCTGAAGCCAGGCGTTCAGTCCCCCGTGCGGTGTGAAGTAGGCCTGGTGGCGCAAGCTTGTCACTCAGCGCTCAGCAAGTGGAGAGGAAGAATCTTGAGATTAAGGCCATCCTTAGCTACACAGCAGGCTGAGACTAGCCTGAGCTACATAAGACTCTAAAAAACGTGTGTGTGCGCGCGCACATGGGTACATGCATGTCTTGTGGGGCTGGAGAGATGGCACAGGCTTGTTATATGAGCCTTGGAGAAGGTGAGGCCTGGGAGGACGGAGGGTTCTGGGCCAGCCTGGGCTACACAGCCAGATGTGATGTAAAACAAAGTCCACAGGTGGCATATGATGGCAAAGGCTTGGTGGTACAGGCTTGCCCAGTGTGTGCCTGGCCCTGGGTACCATCCCAGGTCGAAATAAACTCTCTGTGTGCTATTTCTTAAAATGATTGTTTGTTTGTTTTGGTTTTTTGGGTTGTTTTGTTTTTGAGACAGGGTTTCTCTGTAGCTTTGGAGGCTGTCCCGGAACTCTCTCTGTAGACCAGGCTGGTCTGGAACTCACAGAGATCCGCCCGCCTCTGCTGGAATAAAGGCATGAGCCATCAACGCCCGACTCTTTTTGTTTGTTTGTTTGTTTGTTTTTTTTGAGACCGGGCTTCTCTACATAGCCTAGCTGGCTTGGAACTCACAGAGATCTACCTGTCTCTGCCTCTGCCTCCTGCTGGGATTAAAAATGTGTGCCACTACGCTGGGCCACATAGTATTTATGTTTTCAAAATCATTCAACTCAATGGGGTCGGGGTAGGATGTGTGGTGGGTTAGGGTTGTGTCTGGGTCTAGAGCAGGGAATAGGACTCTTTTCTTAACGCTCCCTAATGATGCCAAGATTTTTTCCAGAGGTGTTGGTGATTGAACAGTCCTTGGATACACTAAGCAGGGGCTCTACCACTGAGCCACACCCCCAGCCCCTCACTGGGGGATTCTAGGCAGGGGCTCCACCACTGAGCCACGCCCCCCAGCCCCTCACTGGGGGATTCTAGGCAGGGGCTCC